AAACTATGAATTAGCCTGCTCTCCATTGCTGCTTTGAAAGAAGGCAAAAAGCTTCTTTTTAAAATACTTTTCTTGCTGCTTACTGAAAATAGATCAACCTTTTGCTTGCTTGCTTGTTGTCTTTTCATTGCTTTACATTTTATAAAAAAAAAATAAAAATTGTTTTTTGTTTGTTTTTTTGTTGTTGTTGTTGGCTGTAATACTGAAACAAATGAGTATCTCCTCCTCCCACCCTCCCCAATAGTGAACTTGAGCTGTAACTTTGAAATATTTGTTGGACAGAAACTGAAAGTAAAACCCCAAAATGTCTGATAACTGCTTAATTGGTATTTACTTTTGGGGACCAGCTTGATGAGGAAGTTTTTGAATCAGGTCTGCAAAGCAGCTCCCTTTTGAAAACTCAGTAGCTCTACCTTGATTCTTATTCTCCTGTGATAGCGACTGTGTGTTGCCAGCAGTGCTCTGTTCTGAACTACTCTGCCTAGAAATCCCTTGGCACTACCTAGATATTTGTCTTTCTTATGTGATGTGTTTTTGCAAGTCTGGATTCAATATGAAATGCATGCAAGTGTTAGGGAGAAAAGGAATTATAAGCATTTCTGTCCTGTGTCCCTTACTCTCGATTCAGCCTGAATCCAGGATTGCTGTTCTTCAGCTTCTCTTGCTTAACAGCCACTTAGGCTGTTTAATAAAGGGAGCTCCAGTGAACCTGGGAATGCCTTTCCGGCATGAAGTGGGGAAGCTGCTAGGTTTGGGCCTCTTACAGTTTAGTACTATGCAGATGTGAAGTAAGTTCCAGTCTTTGGCCCCAAAACACCTATGTTCCAGGTCGTATGGCTTGGTTAGCTGTTACTCAGGACTTGTATAAGCAAAACACTGAAAATTAGAAGTACAGCAGAGAGATTAAGTGCCCTGACCAAAACTATGCAATAAAGCTCACACGGGAAAAACAACTTTTCTTCAGTCATTGTAGTATCCCTACAGCTTAAGATATTTTTCTGGACCAAGATCCACCCACCACCCCCTTTTAAAACTAGGTTTCATTAATTACTTTGTATTTCCAAAAGCCTTTGGTCTGAAAAATCTGTTTGTCAGAAAGCCTTTTTTAAAATTGTTACTCTTAAAAATTTCAATCCTTTTATCACACCAGGTTTTATTTAGCTGAGTTTAGAAAAATTTCCTCCTGTCTATTTGTTGCTGGGTTTCTGAATTTTTATTTTTTTTTATTTTTTAAAATGTGTGTGATACTGTTCATTCAAGTGTGAAGGAAAAATAATCTTCTCTATAGAAAAGAGCATGACCATTCAAGATACTTCTGCAGAAATTACTTCCTTGCGGTAGTAGCACATACTTCCCTGTATTTCTTACTGTGAGGAGAACTTTCAAAGCCCAATTTGTTGTCATCTTTCTGAAGGTATTGTTGGAAGAACAGTTCTGACTCAGCTCCGGTGGTTTGGGAAGTTACCATCTGGTCTTAGGTTTCAGTTCTTGTAACAGTCTTGGCAGAACAGAAGGTGTATTCACACCTTGGCCACACTTACTCATTTGGATCTAAGCTGCACTGTCAGATTACACTAAAGCTGCTGGACCTCATGCAAAAGTAGCTTAGGTATATTATGTTTGTTAACTTTTCTGGTGCTGACTGTAAGCTCCTCACTACTGGATACTTCTCTCCCAGTAGCTTTAAACTGATAAAGCAAATGCTAAACCTTGGTCAGTATTCTGAGACAGCATTCAGCTTCTGGATTGTCTGCTTTTAACTTCAGTGAATAAACTTGATGTGATTGCAGACTGTACAACTGCCTATATGTTATTCACTAATTCAATCAACAATAAATGATTACTTTCTTAACTTTTTCAGCTTTTCATCAGAAAGGATGATTAAAAAAACCCCTATGACATTTATTAGTTTAGTACTAAGAGTCTGTTTTTAGATTTTTTTTTTTTATGTGTCTGGTAGGTGATGCTGTCCTTTGTTCTTTACCTGTTGCAGCAAAAGGAGGAGTTCAAGTTTATAACTCAATAATGAGTAAAAAAGGAGTAAGTCCTCAATAGAACTAAAGCTACTGACAGAAGGGAAATGACATAACCAAGTACTGGCTGGAGCTGACTGGGAAGTCCAGAATGCATGCGTGTCTCTTCTTGTTCCTAAAGAATAAAACCCCCCCTTCACATGTTCTACTTCTTTCCTTCCCCAAACAACCTTAATGCATGATTCTTTCAGAGAGATTTTTATTCCTTTTACTGCTTTTCCTCAAAAGTTCTTAGCTGAAGATTAGGTTTTGTGCCTTTATAACACTAAAATACAAACTTTTTGCCCCCTAAGTAGCTTACTACTAATGATAGCATAAATCTTGATGAGATTCATGAGACTCACAGTTTAAGAATATAACTCTGACATGAATTTTACTCCAGTTGTTTAATTTGAAAATGGCTTGGTCATGATTTTTGGTACTTAGTTTGTCTCTGGCACTGAAAACTATTTTTGGTCAAAGTCTGATCATAAAATATTGTGTATAAAGCGTTTGCTTTCTAAATAGCATGTGACTAGATGGGGGAGGAAATAGTCTGCTCACTCTGAGGTTTTTGTTTTTAGTCCACATGTTTTCCATGAATGCGTTCCTGTTAATTTGTCATATGGCAAGTTCTGTACCATGGACATCAAGAGGTTGTCTTAGCAGACGATCTGAGCAGTTTATAGACTTGTTCGTGTAACTGTGTGTGAGCTAAATGGTGTAGAACTGCATTCTCCTGGTTGAGGCATTTATTTCCTGAATGACTGACCTGTTTGTGCTCATGTTTTGCTACTAAACTGAAACTAATGTGGCTTTTGGACTGAAATGGGATAGAGGGCATTCACATGAATAGCACCGACGGCAGGTTGGAGTAGGCTATAATGAAAGGCTGAAATTAGGGGTTCTGGAGTGGTAATTCAGCTAACATAGCTGTCTGTGGAAAAAGGTATGTGTCTGCATTGGATGGGGTAGTTAATGCTGATTGTAATAACAAGCTTGGAGTACACTCTTACAGACATTAAAGGCCTTTAGCTCAAATGTAATTGCAAGAATGTGTATGGTATGCTTTTAAATATCTAATCTGAATAAGAAGCTCCTTGCAGTCATCTAATGTTTATAATATTTCATGTGTATTTCAGATTAAAATTTAGGAAGAATGAATTCTCTTAAGTTGCCTTTTTCCATGTAGGGAAGAAAAAATACTTTATACATCAGTGTGCTTTCCTAGTTGCATTATCATAAATTTCTCTGGCTTTAGACATGCTACATTTTCCCTGGTTTTATTATTAAAACATTGCTACAAAAAACTTTTCCTAGTTAACAGTGTGCCTGTGAGTTTGTACTTTGCTGCAGAAAGAACTTATAATCTAATATTAGCAGTTTGCATTTGTCTTTTGATAATAAATATAGTAGAGCCATTTTATATTGCAGTTCCTGTGTTATTCTCCCATAAATAAGCATAAAAAATAAACTTGGATAGACTAAACCACTAAAAATTGTCAAAATAGGGTAACTTGGGATCCCTCCTTTCTGCAAACATACTAGAAGTGGTGGTGGGGCTTCATTTTTGTCATATTCTGTAAATCCAGCAATAGTAGGTATAGGCTGGGAGAGAGGTTTTGAGTAGACTAGATATTTTCTCCTGATGTGACTGACCGTCATCCTCTGCTGTTTTCTCCAGTGGTGGCATAACTGCAGAGCTAATGATAACTCAGAGTATGCACTATTTGGGGAGTATAATTTTATGTCTTCGGATTGCCTTCAAAGAGTTCTGTAATAGTGGACATTCGCTTTTACAATGAGGATTTACTTTGAAATTAATGTTAATTTTGAGCTACATTTGCTGTTTATTGCGAATAATATGCAAGCTCTTCAGCAACATTTTTATATTACAGTTGTTAAAAAATGTGGAGTTAATAAATTGTTTACAGGATGCTTAGTCTGGAGATAGGAAAGACAAAGAGTGCTAAACTGCTAATCCAAATTTGTAATCACTCTCTGTTAGCTGTTGTTTAGTGACTATTTTATAATGTGAATCTTCTAAGAAGTTTTTAATGCTATACAAGTCAGTTATCTTAAAAATTTGAGTTATTCCGAGATTTCTATGAATAATACCCTCACTGGTTGATGGATAAAATTGTGGCAAGGTTAGGGAGAGGGAAAATCTTGTTGTAGAGTTGCATGTATAAGTGGTTATTACAAGCCATTGGTCTTTGAAAGACCAAAAGCACGCTGACTATAGTTTCAAAAGTGGTAGAAAGTATTCTTGTATTGAAAGTAGTCTAGTTCCTACTTTCTTTTTTTTTTTTTTTTTTTTTTTTTTTTTTTTTTTGGTCCAGAGTTGCTAAACTGCCTTTTGTGGCTAGCATGTTAAGTAATGCCATTCAGAACGGTGGAGAACATGCATGTCTTTTTTAAGTTCCATTTTTGTGGTTCCCTGAAGCTAGACCTAAATTTGCATTCTTTTCTTGATCACTTGGTGGTTTGAAACTGTAATTGAGAAGCAAGCATGGCACAGTTCTGCAGCATGGTACTGCTATGAAGGGCAGTGTGAAGCTAAAGCTGTCCTTGGTCACCCATGACAACAGACATTTGGTTGAGCTACCCTTCTTTGGGCACTTCCCAGCCTTGGAAAGGTGACAGTAGCAATTTGTTTACCCCTGTGCTATATGTGAAGTAGGGAAGTGAAGGCTCTGAAGTGAACTTCTTCATGTGTTATCTATACATGTAGATAGCAGCCACTGCTGTTAAATCATAGGATTTTTAAATATATGCCCTAAAAGTCATGCTGACTATCAGGGGGGCGGGGGGAACAAGCATAAAACAAGATTTCTTATACTAATGATTTCAGAGTTTGAGGAATATAGTATAATACATTCATAAATTTTCCACAATAACTTCATATTGTACTTATTAACATATTGTTTACAGCTTCAAGCCTGATTATTTAATATTTTTCCTTTATTAGGTTCTTGTGGTAGGAGGAGAATACTGAGCTGAGATGGAAGTCAAAACATTTAGCAAAGCCAGTAGGATTCCTGAAACTGTATCCACATTAATTAATGAAGAATTTGTCCTGGTTCATCAACAATCTGAGGATGCCTGTGGAAAAGATGAAAAACCTCAGCTGAAGGTTTGCTATTACTGATTTTAAATGCATAGTAAGATATGTATTAATGAAAAAATTCAACTTCTTTCGGATATTTAAAGATACTTATGTGTGCTTGAGGAGGCTCTTAGACTGTAATTTTTCTCCTTGCTTATTACTAGTGAAATTAGCTGCTCAGATGAAGCAAATCTGTCCAAAAGCGGTAGTTCACTTTCTTTTAACAAGTTCTTCAGGGGTCAGCTTTATTAGTATTCTGTGGATTTATACATATGTAAAGGACTAAAAAGTTCTTTTAAAAGAATGAGCTTCAGATTGAAGTATGGGAAATATTCTTTATGTAGGGATCGGAGTCTCTGAATGTTATCTTAAAAGTACGTAATTAGGCCACATACAAATAGACCACAGAGGGTCTTGGTTTTCACTTCTTAATTTAGTTTTCCTGCTTAGTGTTGCTTCAGGTATGACTAAGCCATTTTGTAAAAGCTTTCTACCTCTAAGTAGCGGAATATTTTGGCATTTGGGTGACAGCTGATAGGTTAATTACAAATTTCCCCACTTGAGCTGCAGTAGCAGATCTACTGGTTTTGGTCTGCTTGGAACAATAGGAATTTGTTCTCTTGAAATCACAATGAGTACTTAGTTTCTCTTTGCATAACTGGCAGTTATTTACAGCCAGTGATTTCTGCCTGTATTAAACACCAGCTGCTCCTTTAGTAATTGTCTGGAAAGAGGCAGGTGTACTGGAGGTAGAATCCATGATGCAGGTTTATTATTGGCCATGGGTTTTTTTGGTCTGAAAAACTAGTACTTGTGAAAGGCTGTATTTCCCCCCACCCCCACCAGGGAACACGTCTCACCATTTTCTTGCCATTTCCTTAGACTTGCATCCTTCCTATCTGTGGGACAATTGGTGAACCAACTGAAATGGATATGACTGAGAAAGTAAAATTTTGTTCAAGACTAATCTATAACCAAGTCTAATATTCGTTCTGAATGGAGGGTATAATAAACACACAAACATTTTAGATGGATGGTTGTTGGATTAGCAGTAAGAATCTGTGCATTTTATATAACGGGATGGGACACTGGATTATATTTGATTTAATTTTGTTGATTCTTACAGTGTTGTCTTGTTCAGCAAAGGTTCTTAACTTTTGCAATGAGTAAGACTATACATTTGAAAAATAATAGTGAAAGTAAAGGTACATGTATCTTTAAAATATGTCATCTTCTGCTTACAGGTATTTTCAAATGGAGATGATCAGCTGGAGAAAGCAATGGAAGAGTTACTGAGGGATTCTGAAAAAGACCAGAACAATTTCACTGCTCTCCAGGAAGGTTCCAGTGATGCAAACAGCCAGGCAGCCCAAGATGGGTCAGCAAGTCAAACGCATCAGCCATCTTTGCACCTTGCTTTAGACCCTTCTACTACAGGTATTGCTAAAGTGCTTCCCCCATCAATCATATATGGCAGTTGTTTTCTTTATGCAGTTTCAGGTTAATCTGAACATGAATATAAAACTTTCTGGAGCTTCATTCCAAAACTGTACTGAACAATACCCTGGGCCTTCTCTCCTTGTCTGATTATCTGGGGAGAATAGACAGGAATAGCTTATTATAAGATTGATAGCCTGTGCTGCTGTGTTTTGGTCAAGATAATTTTCATTTTGTCTCTAGTCCTAGATGAGTTAGGACTACATTGTATATTGTAGATTTTTAAAAAATATATCTCTATATATTAGGAATACAAGGCTATGGCCATCTCGGCGGGCCTTGAATTTAGACATTTTTTTCCCTCAGTGGTATGCAGAGCACTTTTGTGGCCTTGTGTCAGATAATTCCCAAAGCATCTGCTTGGAAAGGGTGGGGGGGGGGATTTTTGTGGTAGAATAAGATAGACAGCTTATGCATAATGGAAACACCCAACTCTTATATACACATACACATATGCTTTAGTTTTGAAAAAACTTACTGGCTTTCTGTGACATGCTTCAAACAGAACACAATGCTTAGCATGAGTGAACAAAGAAATACTTGTAGTTACATTCCACCTCTTCCCCCTGCCTAGGGATAATTCAGTTTTGCAACCTTTATGATTTAAATATCATGGAAATACCAGCTGTAGTAATAAGGAATAGAAATAACAGGGCAGGTTGCTTAGAGAGGTTTGGAATGTCTGTCTTTGGAGATGTGAAAACTCAGCTGGATAGGTCACTGAATAACCTGATCCAGTTTTGGAACTAGCCATAATCTAACCTGATCTGTCTTTGAGCAGGAGAGGTCTTTTCCAACCTAGATTAGTCCTGGTTTGTCTACCACCTCTACTCTTGTTTCTCAAATGACAAAATGACTTAAAAACCCCATCAGAAAACAGCAATAATGGCAAAACTCCCAAAAGCCCCCTTGAGATCACCCCAGTCCATAGTAGTAAGATAGTAGAAAAAGAACACTTCTGCTGAGTAGAGGAGCAAACAGATACCTTTTTTCTTTTTTCCAGCTCTCTGATGGTTTCATGCAGTTAATATAGCTATCCAGGAATGTGAACTCCATTTCATAATTCTACACAAGCTGCAAAGACCCAGGAGGGAAGAGAATTAGAGGCATCTTTATGCAAAATGAGTAGGAATTAGAAGGAGGTATAGGGAAAATAAAGAAAAGAACATCTGGGGAATGGAGCTTAAACAAAAATTGTATTCTGGCACTGCTAAAGAGAAACAAAAGGCAATTTGTCCCAGATGTATTTCTTACTCTTAGAGTTGAACTTTTGAATCCCATGTCCATTCTCAGAAAAGGTGGGAGATTTTGCTGTGGAACTCATTCAGAAAACAATGTGTACAAAACAAAACAACAACAACAACAAAAAACCAAAAAAAACCAAAAACAAACAAAAAGAAAACAAAACAAAAAACCACACCACAACCCGAAACCCCCCCCAAAAAAAAACCCCAAAAAACCCCAACCCAACCAACCAAAAAAAAGTGCAAATGCTTAAAGAAGTGGTTTCTTCATTTTCAGAAATCTCTGCACCAAGGCCATTTTTTCCTGGTGAACCCCTGGAAGAGGACAGCGTATTGTTTAACAAACTGACATATTTAGGTTGCACAAAAGTATCTGCTCCTCGAAATGAACCAGAAGCTCTGCATGCCATGGCAAACATGAAATCCTCAAGTCGAGACCCTTTACCTGTAACACTTTATGTTCCAAACATTCCAGAAGGCTCTGTAAGGTAACATACAAATGTGTCTTTTGTTACTTGCACAGGCATGTAAAAGGTGGAGTCTGCCTCTTTCTTGCACAGGGAAGTAGAATTGCTGGATTTGCACCTAAAGTTCTTACTGAAAACAGTTAGTTTTGAGAAATTCCTCTGAAGGTACAAAAAGCATGCTCACATCTGACATGCAGTACATAGTTGGTGGTAGTATTTGCCATACAGTGTCAACAGCAGCTTATCTTCCTACCTGCATCTCAGCTCTAATACGGTGAGATTTCCACTGGAAAGGGAGAGCTTATAATGTTTACAGACTAGGGTGACTGGGAGAAAATAATCACCTCCAAGGTAGATATGTTGAGGCAGTAGCAGACCTGCTGGCTTTGGGTTAGCTGAATAAGTTTCAGTTTTAGACTCTTCCATAGATGCCGAGTCCTTAAGACTTGCTAGTCTCTATTTCCAGACAGCTATGCTAAAGCCAAAACTTGAGTTTGGCTCATGATGTGTATGCTGATACTCTTTAGATACTAGAAAACATTTACCTGCCCCTCGTGAGAAGGGTCTTTTTAAGTGGTGGTGAAAGAGTCAAGTTCTTAATCAGGGTGCAATAAAGGTGCATCTGTAGCAGTTTTGTAGGGAGCATCTGAATATTCGAGGTTTTAATGTTTAAACTCTGATGCCAAGATATCTTGGATATCCATATCAAGGATATGCTTAGATTTCTTCCCTCTCCTGTGCTTTTCTGTGCTCCACCTATGTATTTACTATTATCTTGTGCAGAAAGTCAAGCATATGTATTATTTTCTTTCATTTTGCTCTTTAAATGAAATTTAAGTTTTCATTTGACATCTCAACAATATTTCAATTGAATTAGGAAATTACATGGCATAGTTTTGTGATGGAACTGCCACATGGACACGAAGTGTTAGAGTGCTGTACCTATTTGCATAGCTATTGTGGCTATTCAGGAAGGTTGAAACTGCAAGTTCCTTTGATGTTAACTTGCAGAGGACATTAGTAAGCAAAGAACTGTCTAAGAATTTACACAGAACTGTAAAGGTGAATCCATGTGTGACATAATACACTCCATCACAGTTTGAGTGACACCAGTGTCATCTTTGAGGAGTGTTTCCATTCCATTCAGACAAGTATCTGAATACTTGTCATGTGGGGTTTCATTTAGCATGTCCCACCAATATTACAGTGTGCTAAATCTTGTCTGGGCTTTTCTTGCCTTTAGAAGACTAGTCTTTTATTGTTACAGACTTGAGATTCTGTTCCAGGTAGCAAATGTTTGCTTTACATTTGATGTGAATGTGCATATGGACAAGTAGCAAAAAGACAGAGAACTGTGTAGCTCTAACTATTACTCTGTAAAACTCACTGTCTAGTAGTATGTTCAGAGACCACTGCCCCTGTTGCCTTCTTTAAAGTTTCTGAAATGTTCTTTGGGTTCTGAGTTTGTGAGGAATTTAAAATTTTGTATGAGCCCTCAAATTTGTGATTAATATTCACCTAAAAATGGCAGCAAGCATTTGCTAAGCTATATAGAATTGTATAAATAATGTTTCCTTAATGCTTTCTTAAAAAGAGATATAAAAGAATTTAAATTCTTTAAAATCACATTTTCACAGTTGCTGTGGCTTCTGTATTTCTTCTGTTTTTCATGAACAATTGCAGAGCAATGATGGTCATTGTTATTGCATGATGTAGCATTAGTGGACTATAAAAGAAATTAAGCCAGTGTTACAGCCAGAAACATTAAATTTGCAAAGCCTGACATTACTGTTCCTACTGATCATCTGGTGTAGTTGTATTAAGTAGTAATTACAGTTTAGATACTTGTTTATGTAATTGCAGAAGAGCCTTTTAGGTAGGCATGTTTGTTTTATTGACCTTTTTCTTTGATTCCCCCCCTGTTCCTTTCCTTGACAGAATAATAAATCAATCAAGCAACATAGAGATAGCCTCATTTCCAATCTATAAGGTGTTGTTTTGTGTGCGTGGACAAAATGGAACTTCAGAAAGTGACTGTTTTGCATTTACTGAAAGCAGCTGTGGAACAGAGGAGTTCCAGATTCATGTTTTTTCCTGTGAGATTAAAGAGGCAGTAAGTATTAAATGTTGTACAGTGACTGGTTAAAACCGATAGAAGTAGTATTTTAAGAAGTTATTCCAGATGTGGAAATGGTATATAGTGCCTTCAAAAATGTTAGCACATATATAATGAATTTCACAGAATGTGCAGCTAGTCATAAGTGAGTATTAATAGAACTTCTTTTTCTTTAAGTATTTCAATATAATTCCGAAGTGGGCTGTGATGGCAAGATTTAGAAAGCCTGAGTTTAAGACAAGTATTCTGTTTTGAGGCCTCATGTATGTAGATTTCAGAATGAAGTTGCAATGTAGACCTTATGAGTTACGAAGAATCATTTTACAGTACTCTGCCCTAGATATTTTAGGAAGAATTGTGTGATAGTTTGGGGAAAAAGTTTTTTTATAGGGTGGAAAAACAGAGGTTGAAAAAGAAATGCAAGAGCAAGCTGTTAGTTGCGTTGTTAAATATACAACCTGAAAAGCACATTATTCAGGTCCTCTGATGAGTTGCATTCTTAATCTTGTAATAATATATTAACCTGCTGAGCATTACTTGAGCAGTGAATGTGGCATGAATGGAAACAGGAGATGTTGTTACTGAATTTGCTTTGTTATTAAACACCCGATCTGAATGCTTTGTGTTATATGATGCACGCTTTGCGTTCAGTATGAGGCAAGTGACAATAATTTTATGACCTTCAAAATCACATCAAATGGTTTTATTAAAAGTACTCTTTTTCGTTTTTGTAAAAGTATTCTTTTGCTTCTCTGCAGGTCAGTCGAATTTTATATAGTTTCTCAACAGCATTCAAACGTTCTTCCAAACAAGCATCTGATCATGTTAAGGACTTTGTTCTTCCTACTCCAGATAGTGATGTGTACACTTTCAGTGTTTCTTTAGAAGTCAAAGAAGATGATGGAAAAGGAAATTTTAGGTAATCTGAATTGAAAGCGAAAAGTAGAAATCTCTTTGCAAAAAGCATATAGTTATTTGCAGAATGCACACCTACTGTGTTGCAGTAAAAATTATTTGGCCTCACTTCATAAGTAGACTCGTTATAAAAAGGAAGCTGTTGCTTTGCTTTTACAATTTTCTTCTCCATATCTTTTCTATTAAGATGAAAAATCAGTATACCTTTTCCAAGTTAGTTTCTTTTAAACATGATTTGTGGCAGGGATACTTAAGGTAGGCCTCTGTAAATGGAAAAGATAATAGGAAGTCTTTTAAATACTTTATTGAATCCAGTTCTCTGGAGTGACCACAATCTAGCGGTTGCTTTATTATTTTATTTATTTTAAATAAGCCACGTTGGGCGCCAAAAGAAACTGTCGTGGTTTAAGCCCAGCCGGCAACTTGGAACCACGCAGCCGCTCGCTCACTCCCCCCCCTTTTCCTTCCTCCCCCCGCTCCCGGAGGGATGGGGAGGAGAATCGAAGGAATGTAACTCCCACGAGTTGAGATAACAGCTCTCCAGTAACTAAGGTATAATACAAACCACTACTGCTACCAATAATAATGATAAGAGGAATAACAAGGGAAAAGGACACAACCGCTCACCACCCGCCGACCGATACCCAGCCCGACCCGAGCAGCGATCTGGGCCTTCCGGGTAACTCCCCCCAGTTTATATACTGGGCATGACGTGCTGTGGTATGGAATACCCCTTTGGCCAGTTTGGGTCAGGTGTCCTGTCTCTGCTTCCTCCTGGCTTCCCCTCCTCTCTGGCAAAGCATGAGACTGAGAAAGTCCTTGGTCAGCGTAAACATTACTTAGCAACAACTAAAAACATCGGTGTTATCAGCATTGTTCCCAGACTGAAAGTCAAAAACACAGCACTGCACCAGCTACTAAGAAGGAGAAAAAATGACTGCTGTAGCTGAACCCAGGACATTCAGAAAATGTAAACTTCTCTCAGCATTACCGGGGACAGAGGAGGAAAGTATACTTTGCGTAACAGTTAATTACAAGATTTTTTGGAATGGAAGAAAGAGTTGATAGTAAGAGTCAGTTCTGTGAAAATGTCCTATTTATTTTTTGCTTCATGGCTGGTGTATGGCATATTTTCTATAATTTTAAAACCCCAAATACCCCATGTAGATTTGAATACATTTGATAAACCCCAGACAGCATACTTAAGTGTGAGCCTGTAGTCTGGTTTTTTTCAGTGCCAGTTCATTAACTTGTGAGTAAAGGAAGAGAAGGTGTCAAATAACTTGAGCCATTAACATTTTAAGTGGGCTGCCACTGTCTTTTCTGTATTGAACAGTTAATGTTCTTATACCTGTGCTAAAGAAACTTGTTTCTTTATTATTTTAGCCCTGTGCCAAAGGATAGAGAGAAATTATATTTCAAGCTTAAACAGGGAATTGAGAAGAAAGTGGTGATTACAGTTCAGCAACTCACAAACAAAGAACTGGCCATTGAAAGGTAAGATTCTTACAAAAATAATGCAGTTTATGTTTTGAGAGAACAGTATTTAATGTATTTTTCTCTGGCTTTGTGACAGAAGAATGTACAACAATAACACAGAAAGTACTCCTGCAAATTTTAATTAATTTATAGGTGCACGGTTCAGTTTTAAATTCCTTCTGAAGTATTTGTGTAATTTTTAGGTGAAAACAAGCATAGCCTGTAATACTCAAACATTCTTGGGTTTTGCTTTTTAATTGTCTTTTTGAATGTGGTGTTGGGATACTTAAAAGATTCAAATGCTTCTGATTTTGCTTTCTGTTGGTTTTAAGTAGTGCAAAACCTTGCATTTATTGTAATCCTGCATTACCAGCATCTCACTGTTTAGTGTAAGTAACAAAGTTATATTGTCTGAGCTACATTAAATCTTGGAGCATATTAATCTATTAGATTAGTGTACTGGAACACTACAAGTTTGTGCTCAACCTGCTGGTTAGAAGAAGCAGTCTTTTGGTGGAGTCTTCAAGATAAGTAGGATTCCTTTGTAGTTTTGTTATAACATTATTCTAACGTCTGTCTTCAAGTGGAGGTGAAGAGCCTAGGAATGGTTGATGACTCGTGTTTCCTGGAAATCACACCAGGGTATCCCTTATGGGCAGCATAATATGACCTTTTGTGCAAATCATGTGCACAAGAAGTGGACCGTGTATGTGAAGAATAACTCTCAGTTACTGTGTTCATTAACAGTAGACTCTTGTTGCTATGGTAGCAGTAGATATTGTATTAATTTAAATTAGGAAATCCTTCTCAGTATCTCAACTTTTAAAAATAGCAAACGCCACCAGATGGCAATCTTATCAAAGAGTAACAATAGGAGAATTCATTTTTAGTGAATTCAAGATAATGGGAGAATCAAGAAAAAAACAACCCACAACCCTCCCATAATTTTAAGACTAATCTCTTGACTTGCTATCAAACTCTTGTTTCAAAAATAAAACTGAAATTTTAAACAGGGAATATATAGCAAAATTTTTTATGAATATTTTTTTGTGTTGTAAAATTATGCTTTTCCTACTCACTGACTTAAAAAAATATTTTTAATTGAAATAGTTTTTGCTTCAGAATTCAGTTACTAAATTATGAGCTCTTTTAAGCATTTCTAAATAGCATTTAATTGTTGGGTTTTTGTTGTGTTTCCCCCTCACCAAAAGTAAAGCTCCTTTCCTTGGAAATAAGCTTTTATTTTGGTGTTGTTTAGGATATTCAATTAGGATGTTGTTTTTATTGTCACAAGCTTGACTGATAAAAAGTTATTTAATTGACATGACATACACAGACTTGTAAGTAGTTTAATGTTCATACTATTCATAATATTAGAATTCAAAACCAATGTAGCTGATCAGGTTATATCAGACAGTGAGCTTTTAAGCAATTTAATGTGTCTTCAGAAGTATTTCTAAGTGGAAATCATAATGCAGAAAAATAGTGTTGCTAAATAAATTTGGTCTTTGGCCTAAAGAATTCAAGAATCTTTCTTCCTGGTCTTAGAAGAGTAAACTTGATATCACTCAGAGAAACTTGCCACCTGTTTGGATAGGGCCTGTTGCTTGATAAGGTTGATGGAGTAGGTTACTCTCAGTTGAATTACTTTGGCCTCTAATGGAAGTTAGTGACCCCTCTACTATTATAAATTATAGTTCTCTCAGAGATGTTTTACCCCAGAAACAAAAAATAGTAAGTCAGTTTACTGCAACGTTCTGCCTGGTCTAATTAGTCTCACAGAGGAGCCTGCTTATGTGGTTAAATATAAGTCCTAGCACACCTAGCTACCTCGGTTGCTTTATATGATGCTGCATTATGTTGTATAGATAAAGCAAAATTGTTGTCTACTGTTTTATTTACCACTTTGCTTTTTAAGATTCTAGTAGGGAGAATATGGAAAAGGAAAAATAGAATCGTGGATGCAAGTTACTGTTTGAGTGTAATGAGGTAGAAAATGAAAATCGTATGCCTAAACGTAATAAAGGCAAACTTACTAGGTGGTGCAGTAATTGCTTATTTTAAGACTTTTACAGTTAATAGCATTGCTGAAATGATAGTTGCTATTATCTTTGCTCATGATGCAGTCTGTTTGCCTGAAAGCTGTGAAACTATTGTATCTTCATTGCCAACCTATGAATGTTCAAACGATCTCTTATAATTTATGTTTGTTGAAAAATGTAAATTTTCATTTGGGTAAGTGGGTTGCCCAGATGACAGAACTGCTTTTGTTCAGACTTAGAGAACATGGAAATGGGGGACTCTTCCTGGTGCATTCAGATGCCTGGTGAAGGGTACGGAGGAGATGGAGCTAGGCTCTTCTTGGAGGTGTGGAGCGCTAGGATTAGAGTCAATGGACACAAGTTACTTTACTGGAAATTCCTGTGAATTAGGTCAGTGGTTGTCAATACAAATGGAGCATTGCAACAGGAAGAGATCATTCATTCTGTTCTCAAAGGTGTTCAGGACTTGACTTGGCAAAGCCCTGGGCAACCCGGTTCAAGTTGGTCCTCCTTTGGGTTGAAGTTGGGGTCAGATTGCCTATAGAGGTTGCTTTTGATTAATATTGTTCTGAGAGTCAGTAATAAAAACTGGTATGTCTGATTATATTAGAGAATTGAATTAAAGAACTGAGCTGTACAGAATAAAAATTCTGAAAGCAGACCCCTCTGAAGTACAAACTCAATTTTCCGTAACATTTCCTGATTGTTTTTGAGGTGATTTGGGTTTGGTTTTTTTGGTTTGTTTTCTTTTTAAATTATTTTTTTTCCCATTTGAAGTCAAACATTTTTAAAAGTCTTTGCAAAATGGCTTGCAGCTTCTGTTACAACTACGTAATTGTGTCTGGTATTTTTAAATTCATAATGGAGTTTTTTCAAAGGAGAAAGAGGTGATTTGCAGAAACTTCAGACCTGGATTTGTGCTTTCAGTATTGAGGAGGTTCAAAAGTCTGAATGTTTTGAGAATTCTTTTTTTTTTTTTTTTTTTAATATTCTTAAAAATATCAAGAACATTTTCTTGTTAGATGATTGGACAGGAATTCTGAAATTCAAAGCCCTATATAGTATAGAAGTTCAGTTTTAAAAAATAAAGAATGGAAGTCTAAAAATTGAGCAAATTAATTCCCCCCCCCCCCTTTTTTTTTCTTTAACAGCCCATAGTGCTGCATGTTGTTTTACAACAGTGATATTATGGATGATAGAAGGGTGAATTTGTAATATTTTATATGACTGTATGAAAACCATTTTTAAAATGGTCTGGGGAGAAAGTGAATTTCTTCTTGTCAATCTTCATCACTAACGCATAGGAGCCGTTGACATCTTTAAAGTCAATATTATCAATTGTCTTTAAGAAGAATTGTTCACTGGTCAGACACTAACTTCTGTCATCTTCATTCTCGAAAATAATTTCATTGTCATTTCTATAATACACATTGTGATGTTTCCTGAGCGTTGCCATAACACCAAAAAAAATTGATAAGAAAGTTTTTCTTTAAATTAGAAGCAGTAGGTGGCTGTGCCATTGTGTTTAAGAAAGTACTTTTGTATTTTGAAAAGCTAATCTCTCTCTCTCTCATGTAAACTTGACAGATGCTTTGGGATGCTACTAAGCCCTGGACGAAATGTGAAGAACAGTGACATGCATTTACTAGACATGGTAACACTTAGCTCTAATAACCTGTTTAATAAGGTAGAGGTGATTTTAAAAAAGCAAACAAAACCCAACAAAACAAAACTCTCATCTGTTTGGTTTTGTTTGTTGTTTCTTAAATCCTGGGGTTTGTATCTTGAAACTGGGCTTGTGTCATGGTGGTTTAAGCCCAACTGGCAACTGGCACCCCCACAGCCACTCACTCACTCCCCTTCTCTTCCTTCCTCCCTCCGCTCCCGGAGGAATGGGGAGGAGAATCGGAGGAATGTAACTCCCACGGGTTGAGATAACAGCTCTCCAGTAACTAAGGTATAATACAAACCACTACTGCTACCAATAATAATGATAAGAGGAATAACAAGGGGAGAGGACACAACCGCTTACCACCCACCGACCGATACCCAGCCCGACCCGAGCAGCGATCTGGGCCTTCCCGGGTAACTCTCCCCAGTTTATATACTGGGCATGACGTGCTGTGGTATGGAATACCCCTTTGGGCAGTTTGGGTCAGGTGTCCTGTCTCTGCTTCCTCCTGGCTTCCCCTCCTCTCTGGCAGAGAAAGTCCTTGGTCGGAGTAAAGATTACTTAGCAACAACTTAAAACATTGATGTTATCAGCATTGTTCCCAGACTGAAAGTCAAAAACACAGCACTGCACCAGCTACTAAGAAGGAGAAAAAATGACTGCTATAGCTGAACCCAGGACAGCTTGTTACATACAGTGGACAAAACATTTCAGTTAATGTCCAAACCTGTGGCATCTGTTTTTTGTTCAGTTGGTGAAGCACTGATTAGGTCAGTTGGCAGGTGGTTGTTAAAAATAACTAAGCTTTCTGTACTGTGTGAAGCATGTTGCCTAAAAATTTAGAGCAAATGATTATTCTTTTTTTTTTTTTTTTTTTTTTTTTTTTTTAAATATGTGAGCACCGGGGAAGTGGTCTTACTTTTCCAGGACACTGGAAACTTTGCCTTTATTTCCTTCATTTAAATTTAAATTCTTGTTTGGAGTTTGAAGTATTTGCTTATCTGTTATAGTCTTCATTTCTAATGAATTGCTTCTAAGAGAACTACAAAATAATACTATGCTTTCTGTGATAATATCAGTTTACTTCCATGTTCTTGATAAGAATACAGCCATTTTCAAGTCAAGAAGTGCATGAGACAACCAGTCAGGGATTTTACAGCTGCACAGTAGTATCAGTTTTTCCTAGTCCATTTCTTTACTCATGTGGATAATTCTAGCTGTCAGTATTTAGTTCTCTTGTCAAACTCTTATTTGTCTGTTTGTGTCTACCTCTATTTGCTGTCATTAGTTCCAATTTTCCATTTTTATTACTTGATTAGAAATTTAATATAGTGAGTATAAAGCATGATGAATTGGCCTCTATAACACTTTTTTACTGTATGGACTGTGTATTTGAATTCCTGTCTTTACTGCATCTACAATTTTATCTATGTTTATATTTCAAGCACATTTAACCACTGGATGTAATGGCTTATTAGTTCACTTCTTGGTTACAGCATATACATATAAATTCATGGTTTCCTTTAATCCCCTTTTCTCCCTATGTAAATCTTGAGAACTTAGTCACTCTTGGTGCTCTGTCACAAATTAGATTGTAGAGTAGGAATGTCAGCCTCCTTTCATCTATATAGAGGCTACTGTACAAGCCTGTTGGATCATTCAAAAACTTGATAAACTATCTTGTCTTCAGTTATGTAACGTTTCTCCTTCTAACATTTCTTCTTTCTCTTCCATTTCCCTGTAACCTTTCTCAATTGATTATTTCATGTTCTTTATTTTGCCTGTGTTCACTAGAGTGAACACAATCTTACTCTGAAGTTGCTAAAACTATTTTCCTTCCCATACTCAATCTCTTTGATCTGAAAACATGACTGTTAGTAGAATCCTGTATGTTTTT